AGCTTTCACGTAGTTAAAACAGCCCATGGACTTTCCTCCCTGGGCTGGCTTTGAACTGCAATCCTCAGATCTTAGATTCTTGAGTGGCTCGGATGACAGGCCTGAGTCAATGAGGTCAAGCTTTTTTTTTTCCCAGTCTGATGAATGAATTCAGAGTCTCCTTGCTTGCTAAGCTAGTGCTTTCCTACTTTAGCCACGCCCCTTGAACAGCCATAAGGCTTTGAATAAGATGCTCACTAGGAGGAAGGGTAGGGCTCTGTCCAGACATCTAGTCCCCTCTTGGACACAGAATAAGTTTGCAATGACAACAAGGAATCATCCAGAGGCTGATCCTTTTCTGAGCACTCATAGCACCCCTCAGGCAGACAATGTCATTGACTCGGAAGGGCAGACCAACTTGGAGTCACATGGCCAGGCTGATGGACTCCTAGCCCAAGCTCCCAGTGCAAGTACTGAGTACTGGTGAGGGTTTCTCAGGCCACCTCATCCACACCACAGAGTAAAAGGCAACTGTTCCCACTCTGACCCTGGCAGGCAGCCCCATCCCTTCAACTGTCCCATAGTCAAATAGAGAAACAGTTCAATGCCCAGATAACACTGATACCCAAGGTTGGAGCCAGATACCTCCAAGTGAACATCAGGGAAGCTGAGCCTCCCTTCACCCCTTCTGGGTCTCTGAGTGACTCTGAAAATAAGTGCCTACGGGGAAATTCTCATTCTGTTACTCATGAGCTATGCCATCTCCTGGGATTGTCTTTCAGGCTCTGGCCTCAGGATTCTCATCCATAAAACGGGGTTAATAATAACCTATTCTCTTCCACACACACACACACCCAGGTTGTTATGAGAACTAACTAAGATGATGCATGAATATCACACAATAGCAGGCCTCCAAGAAATGTTTGCAGAGTGACTACATGACCAGATGAAATCTTTCCACTTTGTGAGTGTGTGTGTGTGCGCGCGTGAGCACGCATGTGTGCATGCACAAGCTAGTAATGAGGCTTGAACTTAGGGCTTTGTGCTGTCCCTTAGATTTTATTTTTCTCAAAGCTGGCACTCTACCACTTGAGCTACATCTTCACTCCTGGCTTATTGGAGGTTATTTGGAGATAAGAGTGTCACAGACAGCCTGTCTGGGCTAGCTTTAAACCTTGATCCTCAGATTTCAGCCTCTTGAGTAGCTATAGGATTAAAGGCATGAGCCAGCAGTGCCCAGCTTAAAACCTTTCCACTTTTAAAGTGCTCAGGCTTTGAGTCTGCACAAGCATCATGGTTATGTCACATCTCATTTAAGGCACCTAGACAGGATACAGAATGGGGCCTGTGACCACCCAGCTGGCACCTGCCAGGTCTGAGGGTGATTGCAGATTCTACCTGCCAACAGGTGCATGAATTCAAAAATGTAGCTGGAGCTGGGGGCAGGTGGCTCACACCTATAGTCCTAGCTACTCAGAAGGCTGAGATCTGAGAATTGGAGTTCAAAGCCAGCCCAGGCAGGAAAGTCTGTTGTCTCCAATTAACCACCAAAAAGCCAGAAGTGGAGCTATGGCTCAAATGGTAGAGCACTCATCTTGAGCAAAAAGCTCAGAGACAATGCCCAGACCCTGAGTTCAAGCCCTAAGATGGGCACAATAGCTAGCTAGCTATCATGATAGATAGATAGATAGATAGATAGATAGATAGATAGATAGATAGATAGATAGATAGATAGATAGATAGATAGATAGATAGATAGCAGATAAAATGTACTTGGACTCACTGATGAAGTGCAGAGCCAGGCTCATCACCTGCATGAGAAGAAAATGGAAATGACAAGATGTCACACAGCCAACCACACTACCACATCCTACAAACAGCCAGTCACTGCTCTACACAGGGTCTCACATCACACAGCGTTACAATCTCAGAGATGGCACACACACAGCCAACTGCATGCCCACCATCACAGCCTCAACTCACACAGCTCAGCACACACTCTTACAGCTACAGTCACTAAACAGCATGGCTCTATACCTCACCATTCCCTGTCCACAGCCTGACCCCAGACCCCACCCCTACCTCACACAGCCCATGCCCACACTCCTCTCACACCTAGCCCTCACCCCAGCAGACGCTGGTAACATGCACAGCCTTTTTTCCCTCTGGTGAAGAGAGGGGTTCCCCCGTGCCCTCCTCATTCTCATAGGCCCTAATCAGGCCCTGAGTTTTATGGAACCACTGAGGACCCGAGCATGTGTGGAGTCAGCCGGGAATGAGCCCCGCACAGCAGCCCTCTGGCCTGGCCATGTGTAGGATCAGCAGGCTTCTGGCTTTGCCCATCCCACTGATCCCAGGTGGTTCAGGGGTGTCTATGAGAAGTAATAGCCTAGAAGCCACCAGAAAAAGAAAAAAAAAAAGGAGGGTATAGAGGCACTGGGCCTGCAGACAGAGTGCCTGGCTTGTCTCTGGGCCTGGCCCTGTGGGGAAAGATGCAGGCAAGAGCAGCAGGAAGATAGGATGGAGCAGTGAGAAGAAAATGAGAGAAGCTTTGACCACATAATGCACATAAAGTTAAGCAGGTCCCAGAGTAGGGCTGCAGTGCTCAGCTCACTGGGCCTCTCAGACCCCACAGGTACATGTGCCAACCTAAGGCAACAGATGCACTCAGGGACCATGGCTGGATCGTGGCCATTCTCTGAGCTTGTGACTTCACAGTACCTGGCCCCTCCTGGGGCTACTGCTGATCACCTGGGAGCATGCAGGGCAATGGAGCCGACCAATGCTCCCTATCCAAACAGCAGGGCTCCTCTGGTAACTCACACTGCCCACCTGGCTGTAGCCTGCAAAGTATTCTAAGGCATATAGAGCAACTCTGGGCTGTAAAGAGGGCCTGGAGTCACCAGCAGCTGGGCCAACCCACACATAGTAGGAGGGGCAGCTAGGTCATGACTTATTCCCCAAAGCAGCCAGGCCATTTCTGTCATGATGTCATTTTCCTTCTTGCCCATGAACTTGCGTATTTCCCACAGATCAACAATCCCTCCTCCCCCAATAAGGTGAGCTGCCTTAGCAGCAGCTCTCTGGACTAGATGAGGAATGGAACAGGTAGAACCCACAGGATACCTCCTGCCCCCAGCGGACGGTGTAAAGTGAGAAATGGCCCTACAGCTGTCTGGCCTCCCTTGGTTCCCCATTGTTACCTTACTGGGGTAAGATAATCTCTTGGCCTGCACCTTCAAATATCCTGCAAGTTTATGGGAAGACCACATGGGATGGAGCACACCCTGGGTCTACAGTCCTCCAAGGGAAGTAAGCAGGCTAGCCTGTGGTACTGGGGCTCAAACGTGTAGTCTCTGTCCTGGCTGGGTGACTAGAGGAGGCTCTTGGACTCTGCACTTCAGTTCCCACGTCTTTAGAAAATGTTCTGTGAAGCACGGGGACAGTGGGGGGACCCTGTGGTTACAGGACTGAATAGGTCTCTAAGTCACACCTCAGGTGACAACTGACTACTACTAACACATCACCTCCTACCACATTTTACCCTCCTAGGAAAGGATAATTAACATCCTTATGGCATCGTCTGCTGTCCTCCTACCTCAAGATCTGAAACCCCCTCTGGGTCACCAGTACCAGAGGTGAGCACACAAGCCAGGGGACTCCACCTTCCACGTTGTATACTTCCTCCCAGGGAAGAGGGCTTAGCCAGCACTTTCTGATGGTAATAGATGCGGCCTTGGGGAAACATAATTAGTCTTGGGACTCGAAGGGTAAACAAATGTGTAATTCATGAATTTGCTAATTGTCCTTCATTTTGATCTTCTGCCATCTCTCCTAGCTTGTGAGTGACATCCATCTCATGGCAAGGACTCAGAGTGTTCCGGGGGTGAACCATGGGGGCTGCTGGCGTCGAAGCTGGACACCTGCACCAACCCTCTCCCAGCTGCCCACCTCTAGCCCAGGCCCACTGTCCCAGACAGCACAGGAGGCAGGAAGCCCATGGCACTCAATCTTTTATTTTCTTAAACTGTACACAAACGTAAAATACTTTAACAGCCAGTCTATGGGGAAATTGTTTGGTTTTAAATTATTATGAAACAGAACCTAAAGGGAGCTTTATTAAATAAACATAAAGATGAGGATTTAAGGATACACACCTGCGTTCTACCATAGTCATTTTTACTCTACCTTCTGGGTGTGTGAGGATAGAAAAGACACATCAAACTGAATAAAACAAAATCCATTTATACCCTGAAACGTTGGCAGACCACTCACGGGATTGTTCAGAACATTTACCTCATAGAAGATGGCCTCACCATCTAATAAAAATTAAAACTGATCTGTTGGCCTCTTTGGTTCCAAAATTATGTATAATACATTTAACTGTATTCATTTTTTTTTGCTGCTATAAAAATAACTTCTTTTTTCAAATGGCAGTTTCTGACTAATCATGCAACTAAATCAGTGCAAACATTAAAAGCAATCATTCGCTTAAAAAAGAAGCAAAGGATTTCATTTCAAGTATAAAAAAATATAAAAAGAGTCGTACGAGTCCAGTTTCGTCTAGTGTGGGTCAACCCTGTAAATTGCATAGTTCATGTGGCACTTGAACATGTAGAGGGAGAAGCCAAGTCAGGGCTGTTCCCAGGGCCACTTCTGGACACACGAGATCGGCAAGTGCTATAACATGTGCGTTCAGGCAGGTCTGCAAGTGCTAGGCGAGATGGGTGGGCAGGCAGGCAGGTAAGTGGGCGCAGGGGCCATGTCCAGTGGCCACAGCCCACCCACATGGGCAACTTCTGCAAAGCAGTTGAAGGCCTTCCCCATCTCAGCTAAACGGCTCCCCCTCCTCATCCTCCGTGGAGGATCTCTCCCCCAGCATTTCCAAAATGCCCCCACCCCACCACCGCCTCCTCCGGGCTCATCCCCTTGTCTGGTGGTCATCCCCACCCCTCTTCCAACCAGCCCCAGAGCAACGTTCCCAGCAAAGGGCACCGACCGACCACCACTTTTTTCTTTATCTTCTCACTTGAAACAATTCAGATTTTCATTTTAAAGGTCATACCTGATAAAAAAAAGTCTCTTTTCAGTTCTACAATTGGTATGAATGACTTGTCAACTATTGGAGGTGAGTTAAAGCATCAAATTAAGACCCCTCTCCTCTCCCCTACACACGCACACACACACACACACACACACACACACACACACATACATGTCAGGAACCCTAGTGATAGTCAAAGAGTCATTGCTCCGGCTCCATGGTATCTGACAGGTCAAGTCCCTCCTGAGCAGACTTCCCTCTCTGAGGGCTCAGAAGCACAGCTCCCCTGGCTTGGCAGTGTAGAGAATGCCAAGTGCGGGAGTGAATGCACACCACTGCACTAGGAGCTGCTGAGGAGGGGCAGGCCTGGTACAACTCAGAGGGCACTGAGCCCTGGCCTGCCCAGCTCCCCACTCTGCTTTCCTCTCAGTCAGTGGCTTATACTCCCGCTCTCTCTCTCTCTCTCTCTCTCTCTCTCTCTCTCTCTCTCTCTCTCTCTCTGTCTCTTGTCTTTGTGCTTTTATATGTGCTCAGAAGGCGCGATTCAGAGTGGCCAGGCCAGCTGGTGGGAATGGAGGCTGCTCACCCCATTCTCTCCAACTGACAGGCCTTAGTAGCTAAGATGCCATTTGTCACCATATCCATTTGCTGGTATCCTGGAGGCTGCGGTGTAGGTGGTGGGACGGGTCTGGCTGTGCATGTCTATGTGTGCATTTGAGCCTCTCATGTCAATCGAGGAGGTTCTCCCTCTGGGTTTGACTGGTTGATCTATGGAAGAGAAAAAAATTCTTTCAAGCCTCACCCTAGTACTCTGCAACCCAACAGCAGCACCACGCTCAGCCCGCTTTCACCTCCTGTTCCCACAGGGGCCAGAAGGAGCCCAATGGGACTGACCTCCACCCTGCAGCTGCCAGGCCCCCAGCCGCTACTGTCAGGCGCAGCCGCACTCCTCCACGATCATGTTGGGCACGTCCCGCTTGACAATGTTGTATTCATCATCGAAGTAGAGCATGGACATAGAGCTCAGCTTGGTGGGGATGCAGCAGGAGTTCACAGGCCCAGGGTTCAGGCCACGCATGCGGTACTGATTCACCACAGCTGTGTGGAAGGAGGAGGCTGAGCCAGGGACCCCCGCCAGGTAGGCTGGGCAGCTGCCCTCACAGTAGTTCCCATAGTAGCCGGTGGGTGCAATGATCCAGTCGTTCCAGCCAATGAGCCGGAAGTCAATGAAGAACTGTTGCCTGCAACAGAGGCTGGTCCGGCCATCGCACTCCAGGCCTCGCTTGCGAATGCGGTGCCTGCTGTCACCCAGTCGAGCCTGCACCACCACAAAGGGCCGGTGTGACTCCTCCCCAGGGTCGACAAACACGGGCACCACGGCCAGCTCCTGGCAGCTGTCACACTGCACATCCAGGTTGAGACGCCGCTCACCACGCTCAAACAGGGCCTGTATGGCCTCAGTGAGGGGGAAGGTGTGCCAGCCACTGCGCTTAAGGTCCACCTTCTTCTCTACCACGTTCCACCTGTCACCATGGCCCTGTTCCTGAAAGTACACTTTGACCCGCACCTTCCGCCGGCTGCCCTTGTCCAGAACATAGGGCAGGAGCTTCAGGTAAAGCCACAGGCTGGCCTGCACCACAAACAGGTTCTGATTGCCTTCATTGGAGACGAAGAAGTAGAGGCGGACCCGGGAGGAGGCGAGGCCATCTGTAGAGAAGAGGAAGAACAGGCTGAGTTAATTCCAGAAGAACACGAGGCAATGGGGAATGGACTCCGCTGCCTGATGCTGGAATGCAAACTCACCACAGCTGGAAAACGTTACTGACCAGAAATACCGTTCCTGGGGCCCCGGCCTCTGCCTGTAACCTGGGACAGGCAGAGAGAGAATCGCTGCTCATTGAGAAATCCAGCTCAGGGTGGAGTTGGAAGGGTCCAGGCCTATAAAATCCTGCCTCACCTCACCAAGGCCAGAGCTCCCTGGAGACAGGCTGTCAGGCCTCAAAGCTCAACAGAGCAACTTGTCAGGAGGCCAAGATCTTAACAAGTTGTTATGGGTATCTGTGAAATCTGGAAAACAAAACCAGGATCGTAGGGGAGGATTTTGATTTGGGGGTTGGTTGTTTTAAGTAGTGCTTTTTTTTTTTTTTTTTGGTTAACTTAGGGCATTGCAAAATCGAGCTAAGCCACCTACTGCCTCTTTCCAGTGTTTACCTAAGCATGATCTGATCCAACCCGCCGTGGAACCTCCACTGCAAACAAGCAAGCACTGCTCAGATTTCTGACATAGGAACATGGGCTCTGCAGGCTGTAAGGTGCAGCCCTTGTTTTCAAGTAGTTCCAAGGAACAGTATACTCCAGCTTGTGACTCAAGGTCCAATCCTTTGACAAGACCCAGGCTCCCCATTCATGACACGTTCAGAATCTCCAAAGAAAAAGGGGTCTGGCCGGTTAAGTTTTCTCAGTAATTCGTTTCAATAAGAAGAGTAGCTATGCCAGACAAGAGATGACACCCCTCTTATCCTACATTTGAATGACCCCTCTGACAAGCTCTACTTTTTTCCCTTTCTTCCTTTTTTCCCCCCCAGAAATAAGGCAATTCTGTGGACATGACTGATTCTGTCAAACCTCCCACCATGTCCCCCCAGGCCCCTCCTCTGCCTTGTGCGGCTCCTCTAATAACACTGACATCTGACTTTGAAATGGGGGTAACTGTAGCCTTAAAAGCTGGTCTTGGACGAGCCGCCTGTGACCTGAATCTGTTATTTATAAGTCAAAGAGCTGGCTCCGTGAAACGGACCAGAAATATAACAGCCCCCGCTGTCATTTTGTGCCACCGGGACCAAAAGGCCTCCTCGCCCTTCCAGAATCACATTTCTACCCTGGGCCCAAAGCACCTTTTAATCCAAGCCCTCTAATTGCATGTTGAGCGTTCCCTGACTCCAGCGGACAGCTAAAACGGCAATGCATTTCTTTCTAAGCACAAACCAGCCCTGATTGTCTCTGCTTTTCTCCACACTCGGCCATGCAAAACTTTTCATCCCTTTTCATCCTCAGGCGGCACCAGCACGGTCTGTCTGCTGCTTTGGGGAGCGTGGGGGGTGGGAGGGCATTTGCAGTCAGGGGCCCAACTGGTCTCCTCCCAGGCTCCCTGTTTGCCCCCCACTCTGACTGCACCGGGGCTTCCCCCTCTGCGACTTTCTCTGCAGTCCCCTCTGCACAAATGGGGCCGAGCTCCAGGCACAAAAGCCAGCCTGGCTCATTCAAGTCCTGAAAAGGACAGCGGAGTCTAAAGCACTAGCAGAATTTCGGCACAGGCACATTTTCCTCCTTCTTTTAAACTTCCCAAAGATTTTTCTCTCGCTGATTTTTTTTTCCCTTAATATTTAGACAGCGGAAGAGATTTGCGATGTAGGGCCAGGGGGGAAAATTCCAGAAAGGAATCCTACTCTTTGTTAACTAGAACTCTGCGGCTCGATTGGAGGGCTGCTGCTGCTGCTGCTGCTGCCAGGGCAAGCCGAAAGGCTGTCCCCTAGCCGCGTCTTTGCGTAAATGATGGACCTGTTGAGAAGCTGCCTTCCGCCGATGCTGGTGCCCACACAATCGGAAGAGAGGTTGCCTAGCTCTCCCCAGCGAGGCTTCAGCAATCCTGGCAAGCCCACGCCGCCCGGTGATGGAAGCGGCCCTGGGGGCCTCTCACACAGGCGCACGCACTCACACACACACACACTCACACACGCACACACACACACACTCCTCCGGCCCACGTACATCAACAAGCACACACATCTCCATCCACACTGCAATGCCTACACTCTGATCGTGGGAAACAAAAACATTAAGCAATCACCAAGCAAGTGCCCGCAGAGCCAGGGCCGCGCGCATCTGCCGGGAGGGGGCCGCGCGCCCAGAGGTGCTGGGGCCCGACTCCGAGGAGCAGGGGCGGTGGGCAGGGTGCTCCGCGGCGGCGGGGATACGGGCTCAGGAAGGTCCAGGGCCTGAGGAAAGCCACCGCAACCCTGCGGAGCGCACGGGGACACGGCGGGACAGCCTGGCCAAGAGTCCAGGTTGCCCCCGGGGCGCGCGGGCTGCGGCAGCCAAAGCTGGCAAGGAGAGCGAACGAGGAGGAGGGAGAGAGGGAGGGAGCACCGGCCGCGGCTGGCAGTCCCAGGGCCGGACCCACCTGTCTCCGCAAAGCTGATGATTTCAGAGACGCGCTCCTGGCCGTCGGCGCCCGGGCTAGCGTGGCCGTCGAGGTGCGGGATCTCCACGCGGCCGTCCTCGCGCACCTTGCCCGCGTGCAGCTTGCGCAGGGCCGTGACCATGGCGGCCTTAGGCACGGCGTGCGTGATGTTGGGCCGGCCCCGCAACTGCAAGCGGTTCAAGATGTGCCGCTTCACAGCCTCCAGGAAGTCGCCGTCCACCCGGCCCAGCTCCTCCGGCCGCCGGAAGCCGCCGCCGCACGACGTACAGGTGTCCTGCGATCCAGCCGGGGCTCCCGGCGGCGGGGGCGGCGGCGGGGCGGCGGGCGACGGCGGGGGCGTGGGGGAGCCCCAGGCCTCGGGCCCCAGCCAGCCGGCCGCCAAGAGCAGAAGGCAGGCGGCCCCCAACGCCCGACCGGGCAGCCCGTCCATGGTTCGCCGCTGGCGACGAGGGCGCCCGCCGCGAGGCGAGGCAAGCCGAGCTCAGGGCCGGGCTCCGGGCTTCGGGCGCACCGCCCCGCCCCGCCCCCGCCCGCGCCGCCCGGGCCTCCGCCCGCCCGCCTGCCGGGAGGGCCGCCGCCGGCTCGCAGGGGGAGGGGGCCCGGCTGGGCCGCGGGGGTTCCCGCGCGGCGGAGAAGGGGCGCCGCGGGGGCCGGAGGGGCGCGCCGGAGGGTCACTGCCGCTCGGGCGTCTCGGGGTGCCGGGGCATCTGCAGCCTCCTGCCCATCGTCTCCGCGTCGGGGCCCCGCAGCCCCCGCTCGGGTGAAGCGAAAGCGGCCGCTGGGTCGCCGGCCCGGGAAGGTGGCTCAAGAGCCAGTCGACGCAACTTGGTCGAGACCGAAGCGAAGGTGCCCGAGCCCGCGGAGCGGAGCCGGGCGCGGCTCGGTGCGGACTGCGGCGGGCGCTGCGGCGGGGCCCCGCGCTCGCCGCACCTGAGCGCCTCGCCCTCGCTGCCTCGCGCCGGGAAAGGGCTGCGGCCGCTGGCGACGGGTAGGTCGCCCCCGCTGCGGGCCGGCTCACGGGCAGCGCGGATTGAGCGCGGTGCCGGGGAGCGCCGCCGCGCGGGCCGGCTCACAGGCGGCGCCGAGCCCCCGGCCGCGGGCCCTGCAGTCCTCTCGGCGCGTCACCCGGCAAAGTTGTCTCCAGGCTCCCGGGGCGCCGCATCCACGGGCGGGTGGCGGGGCTGGCGGGCCGCGGAGCGCTCTCTCCGGGGCCTCTCTCTCCGCTCCGCCCGCCTCCTCGCTGCCTCCCGCCCTCCGCCTGCCTGCGCTGGCCGGTCGGACGCGGGGCTCCGGCCGATAAGGGCGAGGCGGAGGCCGGGCCCTTCTCGTCCGCGTCTCTTCTGCCCGCTGCGGCGGCCGCGAGGTCGGCTGGAGCGCCTAAAAGTCTCCTGGCGTCCCCGGGAGCGGACGCCCGCGCTCGCGCTCAGCGCGGCTCCCGCCGCAGGGCCGGGAGAGAGCGGGCGGCGGCGGCGTCCTCGCGCCCGGCCGCGGCACGGAGCGCACAGCACGCCGAGCAGGACTTCTTCGCTTTGCCCTCTCTTCTTTTACACTCCCCGTTTCTTCCTTCTAAGGGACACAAGAGAAAAAAAAAAAAAAAACACCGCACGATCTCCGTATGTGCGCGCGCGTTACATAGACGTTGGCAGGGGAAAAAAAGCGGGGGGAGTGTCGTCCTGGCCGTGCGGGAGGAGACGGTCCGCGCCTCCCGGCTCCGGCTTCCCGGGGGCGGAGGGGGAGGCGGAATCTGTTCAGGTCGGTGCTGCCCGCTCCCCCGCCCACCCTCGCTTTCCCCAGCTTCTTTTTTTTTCCTTTCCCCTCTCCTTCTCCAGGAGAGCCCCCCCCCCGCCCCACCCTCCGCAGATCACTGTTGCTGCCGCGAAACTTTCCCACCACGTGGGTGTCCCGGCCCCTCGCCCTGCTGGGCAGCGGACGGCACAGACCCGATTCAGGCGCTGGCTCGGACGCTCGCCCCCACCTGCCGACCCTGTTCTGTCCGCTGCCGCGCGCCCCCAACGGGGGCCCCGAGCGACTTCCGGACCCCAGCCCTCGTGGGGGGCTCCTTCACGCGTTGGCCTGGTAAGGCCGGAGGCAGCAGGCAGGATCTGCGCGTGGGTGCCGCTCCTGGGTTGCAGTGCAACCCCCCCCCCAACCCCACCAGTGCTCTGGGCCGACGTTGGGCGCGGCGCTGTCCCTGCAGGCTGGATGACAAGAGGAGGTGGCAGCAGCTGGAAGCATCGGCACATGCTGCCTCTGCCAAGGCCAGTCAGGAGGTCCGCCCGCCTTGGTGTGGGACCCAGCTCCCGAGGCCAGGAGGCCTCTGAGTCCCAGGGCTTGTTGGATTGGTAGACTCGCCAGACCCCCACCTCGGCAAAATTGGCCTCAAAGCCAGGTTTCATTCGGGGCCCAAGCACTGCCAGCTTTGTAAGAATGACCTTGAATAGAATCCTAACTTCTCCGGGCTCTACCTCCTCATCTGTACAGAAGGCACCATGACAGCTGCCTGGTGAGGTGGTCCATACAAGACAACCCGTGCCAGGCACATTACAGAACCTGAGAAAAGATGGTTCCAGAGCACCCTTCGCTGGCCACCAGACAAGAAAGGCATCCCAGTGCACTGAATTTTCTGTCCCTACTCCTGCCCTCACTTGAGTCTGGGGCAACAGGACAATGCCCAGAGGGCACACACACACACACACACCCCAATCCCCCACTCACAGTGCAACAGGCAGAACCCTGAAGAACAGTAGGATGGGAGGGTATTCTGGCTTCCCTCCAGTATTGAGTTTTGAGGAATGAAGGACTATGGGGAAAATCCACTACAATTCCTCCCCTCTCCACACTGGGGACCTCTGGGCACTGTGGAGTTTGGCCAGGACTGCAGCCTTGTGGAGGCCGGCAAGTCTGGAGGCTGAGCGCCCCCTCCCTCCCAGTTGGAGGAACCGACCTGAAGTCCACATGGCAAAATTAGGCTACATCTGAGTTTGCTAATTCAAAGTCAGAAACGGGCTCCTCCTAGGATCCCAGAGGTAGCAGCCCTCTATCCTCCTTAGGACCCTCTCAAGAGCCCCTTCTCTGCTGCTCCCAGTCCATGCCCACCCTTTGCCCTGTCCAGGAGCCTGCCCATCACTGGGCAGGTCGGAAATGTCTCTGCCTACAAGGCAGCCTAGATCAATGCATTCTGCAAGAAGGGCCTGAGCTTCGCTGGACCACTTTGGTGAATTTGCCTGCATCTCATCAGGCACACTCCACTACCCATCACGTGGCAAACTCATTCCCAGTCTTTTTATGATTTTATTAATACTATTATCATTACCTTTAACTAGTTGTACAAACGGATTCCGATTCAACATGTCAGTTCATGACTACAATGCGTTCTTGATCTATGCCACCCCTTGATTCTCAGTCTTCAGGACCCAGACCAGCCTTTTCTCCATAGTGAAGACTTCTCCCACCTGTGCCCTGAGCAGTGATTTGCCTGATTAGGCTCCTGGGCCCAGGATCATTACCTGTCCATCTCTAACCCAGGGACCAGGCCTTCTAGGCCCTGTATGGTGCCAGACTTGACATGACGAGGGAGAGCTTATTGAAGGAGTGGTTGATTGAATGAATGACTCATTAAATCAGTGAAGGATTTAAGACCTCTCACTCCCCAGCACACCCTGGAGGCCATTCCTTCTTGCCAGCTTCACGTGGGCTACATAGGGCTGGAATGTAGAGAAGGAAGGAAGGTAAAGTGCAGCATCCTACTGATTGACCTGGCACCAGGGAAAGGCAAAAGCCACTATGTCTTGGCTGGTGGGAGGAGGGTCCACACTTGCTCCCCTGGTAGAGCTCCCTGTCAGCCCTGCTGCTGGTCATCTGCTAGGAGGGAACTGGGTCAAGCGGTAGTCAGAAACCATCTGCTCGAGAAGCTGGGATTATCCCGCCCTCTGCTGATCCCCCAGCCCATGGGAGCCAAGGGTGTAAATTGAGTTCTTCCAGATCACCTTGTACTTTAGCAGGGGGTTCACTAACCCCTCCTGAGGGGCAAAGACCTGTTCCTGTTGCTTCACAGCTTCATTTAGCACTGGGATGTTCTTCTTGTGCTGGTGACTTCAGCCTACAATACTAGCCCGGGATGTGACTGTGCCTGTCAGTTTTGAATACAATAACACACAATCACCAATACTATAGCCAACGCCTTCCATGTGGGCTGCCACAGCCCACTCAGGATGCTGGCTCCCTGCTGCCATCAAGGAACTCTGACCCAGTAGAGAAGACAGGAAGGAAACATGGTGACACTGTGGACTGGGGCACACAGAAGATGGTATCTGAGGAGCTCAGGACATTTGTTCTCTCATCAGGGTTGGTTTGATTTTGCACAACTTGTTAAATGTCAATTTGTGCCTGAGGAAAACTTCCAAAGTGACTAGGCAAAGCATAAAAGGGGTCCTTAGAGCTCCTCTGAGGAAAAAAAAAAAGAATGAATGAATGAATGAAATGAATTGAGCAGCTAGGTGTGACTCTTGCTCCCAAATAGATACTGCAAGCTGTAGGGGAAAGAGAAGACCTTTAGGTGGGGAAAGGTTTAAACAGTTGAGCTCAGAGACCTGACATCATTTTTCCAGTGCTGGTTAAAAAGTCACCACCGCCAAACATCACTACTCGATATCATGGTTCTCTAGAACAACTCAGAGTAAGGCATGGAAATAACCTGAGTCTGGAGCCCATTGTGACAGAAGACCCAGCCAGAGGGATTCTCTGTAGGTGAAGGGACCAAGCTCCCCCTTTTAAAAGCTCAGATACTAACATAAAGCCTCAGACCGCATCCTGGTCACAGAGCCAAGTCTGATGAGAGAGTGGGCATGGGAGGCTTATTTTGATAAGATAGCCTCATATTTCTCACCCAGGCAGCTGGACAGCTCCCACCTCCCAAGTTCCCCCGCAGTTGTCGCCATCCCAAGGTCCCTTATGTCTGGCAACACACCAGCTCCAGGACTGAGGCTCGTGATGTTACTCACCTGAGTCTGTCCCGGGTTTGGCACTGTGCTTGACTTACTGAGCCTGTGGTGTGTGACGCAGGACAGATGAAGAAGCTAAGGCATTCCATGGCCAGAATCCTAAAGGTGGTAAGCCTCCTCTGGAGCCTGTGTTTGGGTCAGCCCCATGGCAGGCCACCATGTCCATTTCCCATATGGCTCTAATGGGTGCCTCAGACCTATATCCCAGTCCTGTTGCTCAGTCAGACTTTGACACACAGTCATTTTGTAGAGCTTCCAATTTACAATTTGGAAATTTACAGCTTACAAATGGCTGCTTTTGTTTTTGTTTTTTGTTGTTATGTTGTCGTACTAGTACTGGGGCATCATGTTCTCACTTGGCTTTTTCCATTCAAGGCTGGCACTCTACCACCTGAACAACACCTCTGCTTTCAGCTTTTTTGCTCATTAATTGGAGAGAAGTGTCTCCAATTTGTCTACCTGAACTGACTTCAAACCCTGATCCTCAGGTTTCAGTCTCCTGTATAGTTAGGATTACAGGCGTTAGCCACTGATGCCTGGCTCGGAGCATTGCTTTGAAGCCAATTTTCTCAGCTCTCAAGATCCCTGGGACCCATCATTTGTCATCAAGAATATACAAATCTCTGTTTCTATGCCCAATTTGCAGTAAGACCATGGAGCCAG